AACACCGCCCAAATGTTCACGCTAAGAAAGAAGGCGTAACTTTGATTCTCACTGTAGTATTGCTGCTACCGCCACCGCCATGTTGTGAAGACGCTGTGTGTTTCGTTGCGAAAGTGGACGTATATTGATCTAACAAGCAGCCTTATTTTCCCTTACAAAATTGTCAATGGTAAGTAATAATAATGAAATTAGTAAATAATAAATCTTTAAGAATAGTATATCAAATTAATAAAAGCAGTAAATAAATACTAATACAACAACCTGGAAAATGTACATTTATTTCCATGGTTTTTAGTTGTTTTTTAAACCCTGCATGCACAAATGGCATACACAGGAAAGCGCATTGTTTAAATTGGTATTATGATGAAGCGCTCCAAACAAATCAGCTTTTCACATAATATTCTCTCAAATGTAAATGAATTTAAGGATTAATATCTATCAGGCAAGACATGAGCTCATTATTCCAGCCATTACTGCTGTTTGGAGGCTTCTGTAAATATTTAGTAATACGATTAATTTAATTGTGCAAATGCTCCAATATTTAGTAGTAAACTTAGTGTCCATTTACAACTAGGCTTACAGCTGGTGTATCAGCCCTAAAATATCACAGAGATGGATGGGTTCCTTTGGCTTAATCTAGTAAGTAAACATAAACTACTAAAATCATGTTAGCAGCTTAGCATACTAGCTAACAACGACTCTGAACATTTTATAAATCAGAAAGCAACACTCTGGTAACCACTCTGCCCTGGAACTGCACAGTGTGCGTAGGTTTTACATTGATAATCACTTTTATTCCCCCAGAAAATGTCAAAATCTATGTATGTGTCTTACGTATATAGAATGAATTTTACAAACAACTAAATGATTCAGTTTTACATGATTTACTCTTTACTATTATCTTACAATGCACTACAGATATGACCAAACAACACAGACGGTTTATCAGACTTCAAACTTTAAAACAAGAGTCTGCAAAGTCCCGAAAGATTATACTAAATGCACTGATTTTTTTGGGATTGTGTGACAGTATGACTGCAATTTTGCAACTGGAACACTGTAACTTTTCTGCTCTTTATTTTGTGCTTGCATAGGTTTTAATAAGCAAATCATTTAAATTCCTATGACTTGCAAAGCAATTGAATCGTACATCGAAACAAATCCATGAATTATCATAATAACTGAAGCTGAAGTCTGTCATTCTATTCAAACAACAGACCAGAATAATAAACTTACAGAGAGATTTATAGTAATAATGTGGTAGAGTAAAAACTAAAATAACTTCTCAAGTCTGCATTCTCCTTATTCAAATATTTCCCTAGAGACTCTATAGTATAAACATGTGAACAGCCTTTGTTATATGACTTCAGTCTGTTCATTGGCAGCCCTGTTGCTTTGACCTACATGATTGTGGAAGCAGAGGGAAACAGCATTAGGGGTAGTGTCGGCCAAGAAACGGAATATGGAGTGGGGGATGTATACGCCATCAGTGCAAACATAAGTCAAAAGCACACAAATGCCAAATGAAAGTGATGTGATGCTAACAGAAACAATTCACATTGCAGAATCCTTTTTACCTTACACTTTAATATATTTATTCACAACAGCTCTATAAATTACACTGAAACTATTTATTACAGGCAGTTCTAAAGTTTTATTGTTGCAATGAATTTTGGGTTACAATGTGAACTGTAACCCAAAATTATAATTTCCATTAAAATAACCTAATCAAGAAAGATGAATTCATAGTTTATAGCATGCCAGTAGAAAAATTAAACAATACCATTTGCCATCACAAATCATGGCCTAAATAAACAGCTCAGAAAGAAACCTGGGAACAGGACAGAGCTAGAATAGTATTTGCTAAGAGTTTAAAGTCATAAACTGGGCCAAATATTTAACTTCCACTTATTGCAGGTTGACAGTAATGATCCCCAAAGTATCTGTGCACTTAAAAATGCATGAATGCCAAAGCATTCGATGACAAAATATGACAAGTGGCATCTGTAGATATTTTAGTAAGGCTTTTTCCAGAACTAATTCACTTTTCTGAGCCATTTTGGAAATGACCGATTTTGCAGTGATTTTTAGTGGATGTATGAAGTCAGTTTCCCACAAGTCCTCAAGAGAATAAAGGTGTATTTCATCACATTAACTATGCCCATGTTTCACTCCGCTTAATGTTTAACAACCACAGTGTCAAAATACTGTTTGTCTTAATAAACAGAATATGCCGTTTTAAAATCAGAAGGCAAGCAAAATTCTCTTTATTAAATATTTTGCTTGCAATGTGTGCTTGGGCTACATTTCTATAAATAAGTGGCCAAAAATACTTTTTAGGCCACTGTTTCACACAAACTTCATTGTGCGCACACGCGCACATCAACTGACAAAGAGGCAAAAAAATGCTAAAAATCACAGCGTGGGACTATGATTAGACACAAGCTCAACCCACTCACCTGTGTCGTGATTATATCCGCAAACTGTTGTGCTCTCGAATGTGAACAGAAGTCCAGCTGTTATCACAAAGCAGAGAGAGAAACTTGCTGGCCCCAAAACTTGAATGCTGCAGTCCAGCTGAACCATCATGTCAAACTGCACAGAGGAGAAGACAGATCACTCCTGGTACATCTACAGTCCATTTAAATGGAGATAGTTTGAATAGTAACTTCTGCCTCAGCCTTATGCATCGGTAGCTTGGACCCATCACACAAAAGAACGGTACTGCATTTATTAAGCCAGAGATCTGCAGTGGTCATCAGTCCGAGACAAATAATGTAGCATGATAAAGTCTGTGAATCCGGTGCATGGGCGATTTTGGGCTCCGTTAATTCAACTGGGACGACTGCATTTACAGATGAGCAGCGAACTGTTTCAGCAAAACTTTGTAAAAGTTCCGCCCTCTCAATCCTCTAGTAGGAGGACCCTCTCTTTGTGTTCAGTGTGTCAGACTGAACCCATTCTGTAACGTGTCTATAATAAAATGACTCCCATAATTTAAACAATACTTTTTAACCATTTGTCAAGGAACACAAACACAGGACGCGTTCTTGAGTTCAGTCTGTCTAATTTTATATTTTGGTTTATGAACACATTAGGCGGTCGTCTTGGCTGTCGCGTCTTCGGTCGTCGCGTCTCGCGTCTCGCGTCATGAGCGTTGTTTTTTATTCATTTGTCATTGCAGCTGTAAAACTCGATCTGAATTCTGTTTAGTTCCTTTTAGTTTCGGGTAGCTATTTTTGAATGCAAGAACGCACACTGATGTGTCTATGTTGATGCCATTAAAAATAATCACAATAATCACCAGTTGTTCTATAATGGAATTCATTCATGATATTTGGCATATAGGTCTATGCTTGTCCTTTAACTTCAAGCCAAGGTGCATCATCAACATCATTATCGTCTTTTAATTACGATTGTTACCTATTTGTTTATTTCCACTTGGACAATGAAAGAAATTTTTTTTTGTTGCTGAAGAAAGTCATTCAAGATTGAAACAACATGAAGGTACATGATGATAGAGTTTTCATTTTGGGGTTAATTATCCCTTTAACACCTAATATTGTCCATTGTTGTGTTGGACTAATTAACGTATGTGCAAGTCAGTAAATTCTCTATAGCCTACTGACATTCCTTCCTGGCTTGAAAGGCTGAAAATTTAAAATCTGAAAATGCTAGCTGATTTTTAAGGGAGTAACAAACTGAGCTGCTGACGTTTAAGAGTGTCCATCAAGTGCCCCATCTAGTGGACACACAGTAGTATGAAACATATTTTATGTCAATTTACGAAGTCATTCCCATCTAGCATTGTAAATTGTAGAAGCTTAAGATGATATATGATAAGACTTTATTGACTCTAGGAGTAGTATGAGCTATCAACAGGAACTGAAAAGATAAACATAAATACATGAACATAATAGAAAATTATACTAGAATTAAATGTTAAACCATTTGACATTGAATTAACTATGACTAGTAAATGACTAATAACCTCTTGAAATGCACTAGCCTATATAACTGCTTTTGCATGTGTTATCCGTTTGCTTAGCCTTTATTTTTTCGACTTTTATTTAATAATTAAGAGGTCTGTTTTAGAATCTTGTGTTATTTCGTCATCCTCCCTAAAATTTGTTCAGATGCGTTAGCATTACATGACGTCAAGAGTACGGCTGTAAGTCAGTCATCGGCTTTCTCCAGCGCGCGCGCTTCTGCATAAAACGTTGGCTGTCAGGTGCACTGTGTGTTCAAAACACATCACTTTTATACTTATGGGAACCCACTGCTATCTAAAACCGCTTTTGTTCTGTGTGGAACAATGTAAGACTAACTGATATGCGATCAGTAGAAAGCCTTGTCCACCAGGCACCTGTTGGAGAGTTTCTTTCGGAAACAATGGGTGGCATTCTCAACCAAAGCGGATGGGGAATTTTGAACAGAAGTTTAACGGATCAACACAAGTTCAGCAGTCTGGAAGACATCGATGTTACTGCTGACGGCAGCCTCGTCCTGCGGATTATCATCTCGGTGGTTTATTCCGCGGTGTGCGCCGTGGGTTTGGTCGGAAATCTTTTGTTGTTTTTCCTTATGAAAATAAGACAAGGTCGAAAAAAATCCATCATAAATTTCTTTGTAATCAATTTAGCTGTCACCGACTTTCAGTTTGTTCTGACCTTGCCTTTCTGGGCTGTAGATACAGCGTTGGATTTCAGCTGGCCGTTTGGTAACGCCATGTGCAAGATCATTTTATCAGTCACTGTGATGAACATGTACGCCAGCGTCTTTTTTCTCACCGCAATGAGCATTACGCGCTACTGGTCTGTCGCATCTGCTTTAAAGATCCCTTCTCGAAACAAGTCCGTGTCTGTGAAGTGGATCTGTGCTGTATTGTGGATCTTGGCGACTGTGGCAACAGCTCCAACTTCCATTTTCTCCACCGTGACAGTTGTGGCAGGTGAAAAACTCTGCCTCCTCAAGTTTCCAGATGGCCAGGATTGGCTTGCTCTGTATCACCTTCAGAAAATTGTCATTGCGTTTATCTTGCCCATGTTTATTCTCTCAGTATGTTATCTATTACTTTTGAGGTTTATCCGAAAGAGGGGCATTAATACCCGCCAAAGAAGACGATCGAAAGTAGCAAAGTCTGTAACGGTGGTGGTCCTCTCTTTCTTCATTTGCTGGATGCCAAACCATGCGATCACCCTCTGGGGCGTGCTGGTGAAACTGAACGCGGTGCACTGGGACAAAACATACTACATGGTGCATACTTATGTTTTCCCCGTGACTGTTTGTCTTGCTCATACTAATAGTTGTTTAAACCCAGTTTTGTATTGTTTAATGCGACGGGAGTTTAGGAAAATGTTACATGGTTTCTTTTGGCGCATATCCTCGCCTGTTATCTCGAACGCTGGAAAACTACATGGATACAGTGGAGGCAGCAAGCAAAACCTGGATGACGCACATACTGGAATTCATTTGAACGTGATTGACGCACAACGCTGCCAAGAATCCGGTCAACCGACCTTAAACTGACAACAGTCATAGGACTTCAGACAGGGTCAGCAAATTAAACAGTGGACTGTTCTTTTATTTCTGATAAATCAAACGGTTATTATGAGTTAAAGATCGACGAATGACTGTAGTTGCTGTCTGTGACTTTTTAAAGGTGTTCTATTTTTTTGGCTTTCAAACATACCAAGTTAAACCTAATGTCTATTTATATTAAATATGTACATTTTGTTCTTTGTCACTGAATTCACAAAGCATATGTAAATTTGGAATTAAAAAATACACTTAAAATGTAAAGATATTATGAGGACTGAAACAGTGCTCGCAGAACTGTATTAATATATATTGTACATGATTCATAGTAATTTATTAAAATTAATTGTAAAATATTACATTTATTTCAATATACACACTAAAAAATGCTGGGTTAAATATAACCCAGTGCTGGGTTAAAAAGGGACAAACCCAGCTGTTGGGTTGTTTTGACCCAGCGGTTGGGTTGTTTTGACCCAGTGGTTGGGTTGTTTTGACCCAGAAAGGGACAAACCCAGCTATTGGGTTGTTTTGACCCAGCGGTTGGGTTGTTTTGACACAGCGTTTGGATTCAAAACAACCCAACCGCTGGGTCAAAACAACCCAATAGCTGGGTTTGTCCCTTTTTAACCCAGCGCTGGGTTATATTTAACCCAGCATTTTTTAGAGTGTAGTTTTTAAAGGCATACTCCATCTAAAATTAAAATAGTCATCATTATTCTCCCTTATATCGTTCCAAACCTGTATGACTTACTTCTGCAGAACACAAAAGAAGATATTTCACAATATTTGTCACTAAAATCTTCATTAGGAGACAGAGAGTGAGGTAAGATGTGTCACCATATAGTCTACCAAACTGCATAAAACTAAAATGATAGAAAGCTTTGCATCCAAGTGCAGGAAATACTATTGCATTATACAGTAATTTCATTGATAAACTTGAAACCTGAAAAAAATATCTTTTGAATATCATGATGGAGCACTGACGAAGAAAAATCCTTTCAAAGGATTTTCCCAACAAATGTATTAAAGAAGCTGCAAGAAGAATTAGTTTGTTCAGGTAAATAAATGATCTTTTTGTAAACATTTTTTTTTCTACACTGTAAGAAGAAAAATGGAAATGGTACTGGTAATTTGGTAAACTGGTAAATTTTGGGATGTTATCCGTTAAGTTTCGGATATTTCCTTTAACCATAAAACACCTCACAATGCAACACACAATTGATATTAACACAGAACATAGTATGTTTTATGGACCTTTTAGTGTATCAAGAATATAACATTTTCTAACGTTACAAATGACAAAAAAAACTGCAATATTATGCAGCAAAATAATACTCTGAAATGTTAGGTTAGGCAAGTTAGGTTAAATATATGGCTGCACTAGTTTATAGATTATGTATATGTATTTCTATTTGGCAGATGATTTTATCCAAAGTAACTTGTATTGCAATCAAGGTATACATTTTTTACCAGTTGATGGATTTCCTGTGAATCAAACCTTGATGTTACTGGTGCCATACTCTACTGTTACTAGCTACAAGAACACTATAGAGCTATGGTAGGATAGCTCTACAGTATGATAACAAAATTTGTTTCGCAAACATTTGCAGACATTTTAGTGTAAAAGACTCTTCAAATTATCTTCTCTGTTGATAATCACACCTGCAAATTTAACCAGTAGCATTGCCATTGCGTTTCCTGATGCATCATCTTCTACGCATTTGCCATTGGAACCCTTATGGTTGGAAGTTGGATATTCTGGGCAAATTCCAGATGAAAGTGAAAGTTCGTATGCCCTACTCCCTCTGAATGGAAAAGCCCTTTGAAGGGGCTTTGAAGGGAGCAGGGCACTTACGTTATAATGAAACTGTATGGAATGCACTTGGTGAAGGAAGCAGTGAAAGCCAACGTAATTTCTTCATTATCTTCACCTGAAATTTTACCATGCTAGGCAGCTACAACAGATGATATTATTATTGCTGTTAATATGTTGCAAATAAGTTTACATTTTATAATGATTTTTTAAAAATATGCATATTTGTGTGTGTTGCTTCTCTGCTTTTAACTTTATTAAACATGCCGTCTCTTCTTTGAACCCTGCAGATAGTCATATCATATTTATCTCATGTAAAGCACATTTCTTACCAATGAAACTGATTTAAATTTCACATGAAATGCATGATGAAAATGTGTGTAATATGCCACAACACAACAAAACAACTTGAATTATTCTGATAATATGTTAACTCAAGCTATCCTGCCATATCTAGCTTTTAAATGAATCGATAGGACACATCACCCTGGGTCACATGACCATAAACGATAAAATCACTTCCTTAAAGTGAGCGTCACATTTACCCTTTGCTAATGGATTTGTGGAAGGATTTTTCAGTTCCATAAGTCACGAATCTTGGTATCATTCTGGAATCTGATCTTAGCTTCAGGAGCCACGTAATAGCAATAACTAAATCAACCTTACCATCTAAAAAACAGCACAAATTAAATCCTTTGTGTTCAAACAAGACCCAGAGAAGCTTATTCATGCATTCATCACCAGCAGGGTTGATTAATAATGGACTTCTTACTGGTCTTCCAAAAATACTATTAGACAGTTTGAGCTCTTATAAAAATGCTGCCATAATGACCAAAATACCTTGCAGATATGCTGGAGGAATATGAACAAATAGAGTTCTCAGATGGCTAGGATCAAACCATGTTGTCATGACTTTATTGCAAATGTCATAAACCTTAATGATTACAGACCTGTTGCTCTCACATCTGTGATCATGAAGTAATTTGAAAGACTGGACCTGGCCTACCTGAAGGACATCACTGGACCCTTTCTGGATCCTCTTCAGTTTGCATACAGAGCAAACAGGTATGTGGATGATGCAGTCAACATGGGGCTGCATTATATTCTGCAACATCTTGATAGACCTGGGACCTACGCAAGGATCTTGTTTGTAGACTTCAGTTCGGCCTTCAATTACATCATGCCTGATCTTCTCTCAGACAAACTGACCCAGCTCTCTGTACCCATCATCTGTCAGTGGATCACCAGCTTCCTGACAGACAGCAGCTAGTGAGGCTGGACAAACTAACATTCGGGACTCTCATGATCAGCACTGGCGCCCCTCATGGATGTGTGCTCTCCCCACTGCTCTTCTCTCTGTATACGAACGAATGCACTGACAAAAATATCCCTCTGTCAAGCTCCTGAAATCTGCAGCTGACACACACCACCATCATCGGCCTCATACACAACGGAGACAAGTCTGCTTACAGACAGGAGGTTAAAGAGCTGGCTGTCTGGTGCAGTTATAACAAACTGGAGCTCAACATGCTCAAAACTGTGGAGATGATTGTGTACTTTAGGAGAAACGTCTCAGGTTACCTATGTAAGCATGGTTCCCTGAGTAGGGAACGAGACACTGCGTCCTCTAGGGGTCGCTATGGGGGGATAAGCAATGTATGTAAGCATACATTGAAAAAACACCAACAACACGTTGGCCGGCGACAGCCATGACGTCACTACCGGTGCGACTATAGTATAAATAGGCACCGGGAGAACACATCATCCACTTCTTCGTCTGAAGCTTGCGTCCGAAGCATGGCAAGAAACCTAGAGGACGCAGTGTCTCGTTCCCTACTCAGGGAACCATGGTTACATAAGTAACCTGAGACGTTCCCTTTCATGGGAACTTCGAACTGCGTCCTCTAGGGGTTGCTATGGGGAACGGTATACCCACGCCACCATGCTGAGGGGAGTGCATGCCAGAAACCATGGCGAGCACTAAGTACCAACTCTACCATATTGCCATGGGAGTTGCCCCTGGGACGTTAGATGGCTGTCGGTGACATTATTTCCTATGGCCAAAGGCCTAGGCTACATACCCCAAAAAACTTACCTGTTAGGGCTAAAACTCCTGGGCCCGGGGTAGAGCTAAAGGCTTGGAATCAGGAATAGATTCCTTTAAGGGAATACGACCAAGA